TATTATTATTATTATTATTATTATTATTATTATTATTATTATTATTAACACATTCTGATGCTAAGGAGTTCTACTCTCCCTCCACACCTGGAAAGAAATCTGCTCCAAATGCAAAACACAAGCAGAGGAGAGGAGTTTCAGTTTCACAGCACCAAGCAGCTTTAGTACAGAACAGTTGAGCTAAGTCACGCCCAGGCTCCTTGCTGTCTCCTCCTTACTCACACAGCAAATACTGTTTCAGTTTCCAAATAGCCCTCAAAACTCTCACACACTGACGGGACGCTAGCCAGATGAATACCGATGGATGCTGGTAGGCAGAGGGAGAATCCCCCCCCCCATTTTCCTCCCCCAAAACTAAGCTTGACCACATAGTTTCATAGCGAAGTACGGTTATCGAGCTAGATTTATTCCCCACCCCCCTTTTTATAGTCTCATGTTCTATATGCTGTCTCTTATCTGACAGGGTCTCTTTGCTCCGTCTCCCAAGGTCTTTCCCCCCATATCCTTGCAGATGCCAGCACACACACTGAACTCTTTCCATAGATCTAGATCCCCCCCCCCATTTACAGCCTGAGAAATTAGGGAAGGTCTCTTCTGCGCCTCTTTCTCCTCTCATTATGCAGCTGAGGGCTCAGCTGCCTCTTATCTGATGTTCCTTGACCGCTGCCTTCTGCCTTGTGTCTTCCCCACATACCATTCCAGGAACAAACCTTGGACGTTAGGCCTAAGTTGGCCTCTTCCAGCACTAACCCGACGTATCCTTTGGGAAGACAGCTTTCCTTCCCCTTCAGGCTTCGGCCACGGAAGGACACCGAGGCCTCTCCTGGATGAGGGAGATAGGTAGGAGAGAAATCACAGTGATGACATTCGTACAGGCTGCGGCTGCATTCACAAGACCACCTTTTTTGAAACCTATAGCACACTAACCACGATAAATATATATATATAAGAACTGAATCATAAAACACCCACAATAAACTAGAAATACAGCATGCTAATTAAATTGCAAACACACACACACATACGAGAGAGGGAGAGAGATAGGTAGGTAGGTAGGTAGATAGCGATATAGATAGATAGATAGATAGATCCCGATATAGATAGATAGATAGATAGATAGATAGATAGATAGATAGATAAGGTAGATAAGGTAGATAAGGTAGATAGATAGATGAGATGGATGGTGAGATGGATGGATAGATAGATACCAATATAGACAGACAGATAGATACAGATATAGATTGATAGATGAGATGGATGGTGAGATAGATACCGATATAGACAGACAGATAATACTGAGATATAGATAATTTATCTATTATGTATTATTCCACTAATAATTCACCAGCATGAAAATCAATCAAATTGGTGAATTGATCCTCGTATCACACACAAGGGTTTGAAAGCTTAAAAAGGGACCAAAAGGGCCGGATAAACTATATCACAAAAGATAAATCAAGATTAATCTTCATCTATTTAGTACGTTGTGTGAATGCAGCTCCTAGGTTTCACCAACCTAAGCCACTAACCTTAAATTCTGGTGGCCTTTTCTGCTGGACACCGGATATATATATACTGTACATATTTTAAAATGGGAGTAAAATTGATTTTTTAAAGTTTATTTTGATTTGTCAATCGCTTACAAGATAACAGGTGTAAATATAAACATAGTTATGAATACATGAAATGGGTACATGTAAGAAAAATAAAAGAAACAATAGGACAGGGACGGTAGGCACGTTGGTGCGCTTATGCCTGCCCCCTACAGACCTCTTAGGAAAGGGGTGAGGTCCATAGTAGTTGGTGGTCAAGTCTTGGAAAATCCCTTTTTTTAAATTTGGAGGGAGGGAGGGAGGTTTTGAGGCAGGGACCAGATTCTATCTCCATCTTATTATAAAATGCAAAGGGAGAAATTTGAGAGACATCTCAAATGTTTCAAGGGCACAGGAGGTCCCAGTTCTGGAACAATAAGCCAGGATTAAACTGAAGCCTGCATGCAAAGGAAAGCTGCTCCCACCAACCCAGTTTTTCTCAGGCTTGGCAGCTGAACTCAACCCCCCTCCCCCCCCCAGAATTTGCTGGCGGGAGCATCATGGGAGTTGAAGTCCTCCCAACCCCCAAGCTTGAGAAACGCCGCGCCAAGCAAGGCCGGAGTCCCATTCACGCAGCGCAACAATTCCGGAATCTCAAGGCGGATTCGCCAGGAGGGCCGAGGTCCCAGTGCTCGGATGGGATCGCATCCTGGACGACCAGCCAGGCAAACGGGGGGAGGAGGGGTTGCAGCTCCCCCCGAACTGGGGTTGCAACGTCCTCCAAGCTGGAGGGCGCCCGGTTGCAGAAGCTGGTCCCGCGCAAGGGAGAAAGGAAGCGGGGGGGGGGGCGGGGGGGGGAAGGTCGGTTCAGGTCCGCCGCTTTGCAGCTTTTTGCAACCCCGGCGGGACTTCGCTGCTGCAGCCCCTGCAGCCCCGCGCGCCTACCGTCTGGCCCCTCTGGATGGCGGCGCACGGCGGGCGCAAAGTAGCGCTCCACGGCGGCGGGGCCCTGGTGCTGGACGGAGCAAGGGAGAAGATGCAGGGGGTCCCGGGGCGCCCCCGGCAGGGAAGCCAGCGCCAGCCGCGCTGCGCCCCGCTCTTCGCCCGCCATGGAGAGCCTCGCGCGCCTCGCCGGCTCCGCCCCGGCCAGGGATCCACCCCCCGGGTGGGAGGAGATCCTCCCTCGCCCAGGGATCTACTCCTGGATTGGTAGGAAATC